GTCTCTCCTCACGCCCCTCCCCCGTGCTCCCCCAGCCCCGGCTCAGGGACGCTCTGAGCAGACAGGCTCAGCTCCTCTGCAGACAAGTCCTCCTCTGAAGGCTGATGCTGATGTTTGGTGCCAGCATCCACTTCACAGCCTGGCTTCTGATCCCACACACCCCTCTCAGCTCTGCCCACCGCTCCTGCTCTGGCCCCTCCTGCCCATTTCCATCTGGTTGTTTGTCCATGATCCGAGCCCTCTCTTCCTAATCCTCCCTCTCCTTCAGCACCTAGGAGGTCTCTCCTTCCAGCATCTGAGTTCCTGCTCGAAAGAGAGAAGCCCCTGCCCGACTGTACCAATTATGTGTTTCAACCCAGTCCCCTCAGCCCCTCCCAACGCAGGGTTTAAGCAGCCTTCCGTGTGGCAGCGAGAGTCATATTTTAAGTGGCAGGTCTCAGAATACAATTTTAATTAAGATTCAGTAGTCACTTCTCCGTCAGTAACTTCCATGCTGATTACTTAAAAACATATTTACCCAGCTCTATTATGTGACAGATTTGAATTCATTAGACGTTTGCTAATCCGCCAGAAACTTTTTGAAAACGTGATGTGCTTAGCATGGTCCACAAGGACAGAACCGCTTAGCACAGCGGGCCCTGCGCAGGGTGTGCGTCCCCACAGGCCGGGGTCTTCCCTGGCCGCCGCCGCCATGGTGGTTGAAGAGGCAGGCGACAGGCCGGAGGCCGGAAAGGCCCAGAGGACGCCGTGGTGGGGCAGCTCGTACTGGGCAGCCTCCCAGGCATGAGCAGGGTCAGGAGGGTGGGGAGAAGATCTGGAGGGACCAACGGAAGATACCCAGCACCGGCACCGAAAGCCTGCGCCCTGGACTCGGCTGTGCCTGACAAGTGTCACTGTTCCCTACGTGCCATGGTGTGGAAACGTCGGGAAATGCGATCCCTGCAGTGTCCACTGACAGGACGGCACGAGGAGGTACCTTTTGGGGCTGCAGACTTTTAGAACACTACCCTCCTGTACACACACATGCACACACACACATGCACACACACACATGCACACACACACATGCGCACACACAGCCACTCTAACTTAACTAGCCAGGGGCATCCTTGGGTGTGTCTGGCCCTGTGTCCTTGGTGGGTGTAGGGGTACCACTCAACTCTGCTTGAGCAGATGAGGGGCTAGAGGAGTATGGCCCCCCTGGTTTACCGCCGTGGGGGGTCGTGCTGGAAAATGCAGCGGATGATTGGCAGACGATGCTTTGGAAACTTCTACCATAAAGATGGTTTTCTCAGCTGATGAGCCAGATGAACTCTGGACAGTGTGGAGACAGAGCCCAGAAACCCAGGGCCAATGCCAGAAACTCACTTTGTTCAGTAATGTATTTCCTGCATGCATTCAGTTGATATTTACTGGTCAGGTGTGGTGCTGGGTGCTGGGGATACAGTGATGGGTGGACAAGACAGGTACGTCCCCTGCCTTGTGGAGTTTATAGGTTAGGAAGGCAGGCAAGTAAGTAATTAAGAAATTATAAATAAAAGTATCATGATCTTTGCCCGGCTGGTGTGGCTCAGTGGTTGACCATCAACCCGTGCACCGAGAGGTCACCAGTTTGATTCCCAGTCAGGGCACAAGCCCGGGTTGTGGGCCTGATCCCCAGTCGGGGGCATGCAGGAGGCGGTCAATCCATGTTCTTTCTCATCGATGTTTCCATCTCTCTCTCTCCCTTCCACTCTCTCTAAAAACCAATAAAGAAAAAAAATTTTTTAAAGGTAATTTCTTTAAAAAAAGAAAAGTGTGATGATCGACACGTAGGACGAGTACAAGGGGCTCAGGCGGACAGAGCAGGAAGGCCTGCATTCGTCTAGATTTCGGAGGGCTTCCTGGTGTAGGTAGTAGTTCACCGGAGACCCAGAACTTGGCCGGCAGAAATGGAGGCAGGGAGAAGGTAGGACAAAGCAGAGCATGTCGGAAGTCCTGAGGACGAGCAAGCATGGATTTATAAGACAGAGGCTGAGTGTAGCCGGACAGGACCAGCAAAGGGAGACAGAATGAGATAAACTGGGCTAGTGGGCAGGACCAGCCCTCGCAAAGACTTGCTCTTGTGTTAAAAAATAGAAAACAGGTCAATGCAAATGGAGAAGATTCTGTTTGTTTTATCAGGCCCCAGCTAAATGTGGACCAGAGGCCAGAATGCACCTGGGCATGGAGATGGTGACAGGTGGCTTGCACCTAGAGACGCCTCTGGAATGGATGTTCCTGGTGGGACCTGGGTCAGGATGGGCTGGTTCCCCTCAGGTAGAAGGTTGGGGTGAGTATGGACTGGCAGGGTGAATGGCCGGTCCTGGTTGCCCGGAGCAGAACTATGTGGAATTAAGTGTGTTGGCAAAGGCTTATAATGAAAGTGACCATAATGAAGAAGATGGAAAAAAAATCTTGAACAGAAGTCAGCCAACTTTTTCTGTAAAGGGCAAAACAGCAAATATTTTAGGCTATGCTCACCACAGCGTATTCGCTGGCACTCCTAACCTCCACGTGAAAAAAGCCATAGACAAGATGCAAATGAATGAGCGCGGCCATGTTCTAATAAAGCTTTATTTATAAAAGCAGGTGGCAGGCTGGATTTGGTCCCTAGGCGGCAGTTAGCCAACACCTGCTCTAAGGGTGCTATCCAGCAGTCAGCCAATAGCCACATATGCCGAGTGAGCACTTGAATGAAATACGCTGAGTGTTAAATACACACCTGATTTTGAAGACTTAGCACAAATAAAAGAATGTTAGTCATCTCATTAACATTTGTTTGTGTCGATTACCTGTTGAAATCATAGTTTGGATATGCGGTTTACATAAATCTTTATCCAAATTGATTTCACCTTTTTTTTTTTTTTTTACGTTTGAGAAAAAATACGGCCACTAGAAAATTTTAAATTACATTTATGGCTAGCATTATATTTCTATTAGACAGGGCTGCTCAAAAATAACATTCTTTATAGATGAAATACAGGGCACGTCTCTGGCCCTGAAGGCTCTCAGGTGAGAGATTTACCCGTAAAGAGACACAGTCATGGAATTCAAACCTTTACAATGGGATAGGTTTTCAAATTTAGAGTATGCCTTTGTTTTATTAGCTGGTTGCTTCGTCTGTCTCTGTGCTCCACAAAGAGGGAACTCTGGAGCTCTGCTTCCTCGAGGTATTAATAGCTGTTGCTCAGAAAAATGAGTATCTTTAGCTAAAACAGAAAAAGGGAGCGATGCAGAATTAAACATTAACCCAGTTTCTCTGCTGCAGCAGAATTTCTCAACCCTTCTGAACTTGCTAATGCGTGTCGAGCTTTTGCAGGAGTGAGTGAGAGTAGGCAGCACTTCCCCAACTCACTGGCCTTGGAAGACTTTCTTGCAGAACTGGAAATAGCACTCCTAGAAGGCAGTTTGTGAGCCGCTGGCCTGCGTGATGCGACACAGCCAGAGTGCACGATTTTCCAAAGGTTTAGCTCAGTTGATGCAATTCTTAGCGCTGCATAAATAGAGCCATGATCAGCACCACATGGATAGTGAGAAAGCTGTCAGGTTTGGACACAAGAGGATCTGAGCCAAAGTCCTGTTCCTTCCTTTTCTAGATGTTCATTCATGCAAAAACACCTACTACGTGTCAGGGGGTGTGTTAGACTTTGAGAAAATAATGGTGAGTGAAAACAAATTCTGCACACAAGACAGTAGCATGCTAACTATGTATGGTGTCAGACAGGTACTAGACTTATCCAGGTGGCGACCACTTTGTAAGGTAGATAAATGTCTAATCACTACGTTGAACCCCTGAAACTAGTACAATGTTGCATGTCAACTCTCGTTGAGAGATAAGAAGCCCTCGCTCTGTCATTCTGGACGTGCCCTCCTGACTGTGGGTGTATGTCACAGAAGGCAGGTCTCACCCGCCCCGGAGGCCTTCTTCCTGGTTGCGCAGCAGTTAGAGCTCCAGTTGATCCAAGCCCTGTCCTCTGGATAGACGTTCAGGTTGTTTGCAGTATTTTGCAATTACAAACTATGCTGCCACAACAACAACAACAAAAGAAATAAAAATTTAAATTTAAAAAGACCAACAATAAATAAAACAACTAGGTAAACTATATATAGTCAGTCAGACGGTGGTACATTTCAAGGAGAAAACACAAGGCGGGGAGAAGGGAATGCACAGTCGGGGTGGGCGTGGCTGAGAGGATGACTTTTGAGTCAAGACCTGAAGGAGACCCCGGGCGAGTCCTCGTCTGTACACATAGATAAGGCCTTCCTCATGAAGGGTGTTCCTTAAGCCCAGATGAGATGCCGTATGTGAAATTCCAGGCAGAGGACCCAGCACGGGCTAAGTGCTCAGCAGTAATTCATGTCCCACCACCGTCTTTAATTCCCTGAACTCCCAAATATGTATCTACTACGTGGGTTCCATGGTGAGAATGTAGCCAGCGCAGTTCCCCGCTAACCTTGGCGTCTCCCAGGGCCGGTTCTCTCCACGTCCACGTCCTTCAGGAACATCGGTGCAATTTAATTTCATGCCGAGTCTAAACCAATTAAGAAGTTAAACCGCTTCAAAGTACAACCATACACACTTTGCAAATCCAATGATTACAAATGAACCACTGGTGTGGAATCATCCATCCATCCATCCTTCCATCCATCCATCCAACAAATATGTATTGAGCACCTACTGTGTTTCAGGCCCTGTGCTAGAACATAGCAATGATAAAACAGACATTCTACTGGGGAGAGAGAAAATATTCTATAACCATAATTAAGAAGTCAATTCAGTAGTCTGTCAGAAGGTGATAAAAGCTAAGGAAAAGGAAAAAGGAGAATCGTATTCAAGGAGTTGGTGAAAGAGATTTTGCTTTGCAATGAGCAGAGGCCATTTATAGCTGCTTCCCAAGGCGGCCGTTACCATGAGGGGAAGCTCTGGATGGGGTGTTAGGAAGCCGACCCTGACCCTGACCTGTGTCCCTCCCTTCCAGGCGCTGCAGCCTGAGTGACCAGACCATGGAGACCCTGCTTGGTGGCCTGCTGGCGTTTGGCATGGCGTTTGCCGTGGTCGACGCCTGCCCCAAGTACTGTGTCTGCCAGAACCTGTCTGAGTCGCTGGGGACCCTGTGCCCATCCAAGGGGCTGCTCTTCGTACCCCCTGACATCGACCGGAGGACGGTGGAGCTGCGTCTGGGTGGCAACTTCATCATCCACATCGGCCGCCAGGACTTCGCCAACATGACGGGGCTGGTGGACCTGACCCTGTCCAGGAACACCATCAGCCACATCCAGCCCTTCTCCTTCCTGGACCTGGAGAGCCTCCGCTCCCTGCACCTCGACAGCAACCGGCTGCCCAGCCTCGGGGAGGACACGCTGCGCGGCCTGGTCAACCTGCAGCACCTCATCGTGAACAACAACCAGCTGGGTGGCGTGGCTGATGAGGCCTTCGAGGACTTCCTGCTGACGCTGGAGGACCTGGACCTGTCCTACAACAACCTCCATGGCCTGCCCTGGGGCTCTGTGCGGCGGATGGTCAACCTGCACCAGCTGAGCCTGGACCACAACCTGCTGGACCACATTGCTGAGGGCACCTTCGCGGACCTGCAGAAACTGGCCCGCCTGGACCTCACCTCCAACCGGCTGCAGAAGCTGCCCCCGGACCCCATCTTCGCCCGCTCCCAGGCCTCTGCTCTGGCCGCCACGCCTTTTGCCCCACCCTTGTCCTTCAGTTTTGGGGGGAACCCCCTGCACTGCAACTGCGAGCTCCTCTGGCTGCGGAGGCTGGAGCGGGAGGATGACCTGGAGACCTGCGGCTCCCCCGGTGGCCTCAAGGGCCGTTACTTCTGGCACGTGCGCGAGGAGGAGTTCGTGTGCGAGCCGCCTCTCATCACCCAGCACACACACCGGCTGCTGGTTCTGGAGGGCCAGGCAGCCACTCTCAAGTGCAAGGCCATTGGGGACCCCGGCCCCCTCATCCACTGGGTGGCCCCCGACGACCGCCTGGTGGGGAACTCCTCAAGGACCGCTGTGTACGACAACGGCACCCTGGACATCCTCATCACCACGTCTCAGGACAGCGGCGCCTTCACCTGCATTGCCGCCAACGCCGCCGGGGAGGCCACGGCCACGGTGGAGGTGTCCATCGTCCAGCTGCCACACCTCAGCAACAGCACCAGCCGCACGGCTGCCCCCAAATCCCGCCTCTCGGACATCACTGGCTCCAGCAAGACCAGCCGGGGAGGGGGCGGCAGCGAGGGTGGGGAGCCTCCCAAAAGCCCCCCAGAACGAGCTGTGCTTGTGTCTGATGTGACCACCACCTCGGCCCTGGTCAAGTGGTCGGTCAGCAAGTCGGCGCCCCGGGTGAAGATGTACCAGCTGCAGTACAACTGCTCCGACGATGAGGTACTGATTTACAGGTGAGCCGGGGCTGCGCAGAGGCAGGGGCTCTGGCCGGGGGCCGGGAGGGCAGGGGCGATGGGACGGCTGCGAGCTGTTCCCACTAAGGCCCCCTCCCCAAAGGTGCCTGTGGGGGTTCTGGGGCAAACCATGCCATTCGTGCAGGTAAGAAAAGATAGAAAGAGTATCAGCAGTAAGTTTCAGAAGAGAGGAGCCCACGTGGGCAGCCCGATGAGATGTGTACTTGGAGGACCGGGCCCCTAGGGGTGTGGCTGAGGTAGGTGGTCCCATGGCTACGCGCCTCGGAGCTTTCTGTTTGCGCCACAGCTGGTGGACATGCGAGGGTGAGGGGGCCTCTGGGCCGGAGGGCCCCACTCCTCCCTGGAGGAGTGAATTTGGCCTTGACCTGGGCTCCAGTGAAACTGTGATTAAGGCTTAGAGGTCGGGGAGGGTAGAATTCAGATCATGGCTTGGCTGCTTGCTAGTCATGTAATTCTCCTGGGTTGCCTCAGTTTTCCTCATCTGGAAAATGGGCGCAGTCCATACATAACTCAGTCTGGACACCTGGCTGCAGGAAATTGAACCGAAATCAAACTGATGTAAAAAAGAGGAAGCCCTAGCCGGGTATTCTCAGCGGTTAGAGCGTTGGCCTGCGGACCAAAGAGTTGTGGGTTTGATTCCAGTCAAGGGCATGTACCTCGGTTGCAGTTTGATCCCCAGCCCTGGTCAGGGTCGTGCGGGAGACAACCAGTCGATGTGTTCCTCTCACATCGATCTTTTTCTCTCTCTCTCCCTCCCTCCCTACCACTCAATCTGAAAATCGATGGAAAAATATCCTCGGGTGAGGATTAAAAATAAATTTTTTCTAACAAAAGGAAGAGGGACGACGTTGGCTCATGCCATTGAAAACGCAGAGACCGGCTTCAGGCTCGCCTGGATCAGAAGCCCCACCTGCACTCAGGGGTTCTTACCTTCCCTGAGCCCCCGGCCCCTGGGTTGGCTTCCGCTTTCCTCCAAGCAGCCCTACAGGCAGAAGCGTCCCTTTCCCCGGCGGTCCCACGGGTCCGGGGTGAGCTCTGACTAGCTGGAGCAGGTCACGTAGCCCCCGGGACAGTAGAGGCGGGGTCATCCTACCCACCTGTGCGGACCTGTGTCTCTGGGGGTCAATCTTCTCACCTGGAAATGGGGACGATGACACTGACCTTGTAAGTTCGCGGTGAGACTGTGGGGCCGGATTCCCAGGCGGGGAGGAAGGGGGTTTCAGACAGAAAAGCGGCAGCGGAGTTCCTGTCGTTCGACGGAGGGCGGGAGGAGCCCCACAGTGGTGGACGCAGGCCAGAGGGCCGGGGTCCGGCCCCACGTGAGCTCCCCTCTCGGGGAGCTCGGTTTGTGTTCAGCACCAGGGGTACGGCCCAGGATCTTACCGCTCAAAGAATGCGTAGTTCCTTTTGAAATCCCAGGCGTCGCCTTTTATGCACGTGGAATGATGATTCTGGAAAGAAATCTTACAGGCTTCACCTATAGCTGAAGGGTCCATGGGTCAGATTATTCTGGAAGGAAATCTTACAGGCTTCACCTATAGCTGAAGGGTCCATGGGTCGATCTGTCGATGAGGTTACTTCCAGCTCTGACCTCCTGAGTGGATGGGTCTCTGGAGGGGAAGGTGTGGACGGGAAGGGGGGAGTTCCCTTACCTGGCAGGTGGTTACCTGGAATGTCCTTTACCTGGTTTCTCTGGAGAGCAGCTTCATGTTCAGGATGGAGAGAAGCAGTCTCAGAACTTAAACACAGGCATACATGCAATTGTAGAACGATATGGAGACACAGATATACAATTGAGCTGAAATAGACATATGCGTATTTTTCTAATTATAAAATCGTCTTTGTAGCAAATTTGGAAAACAGAGAGAAGTGATAAAAAGGGAAATAAAAATCACCTGCAATCCCACCACTCGAAATTAACCAGACGCCTTTGGCCTCTCCATTCAAAACCATAGTTATGATCATTCTAGTGGGTGCTTTTGTTTCTTAATTCCTCCACTCAACATCATAGCTTGCTCGGTTCCCGTGGTGTTAAAATATTTTTCATGCGGCTGTGCTGTAATTTATTTAACTAATCTTCTATTGTTGGACATTTAAGTCGTTTACCATTTTTTAATATTAAAAGTAATGCTGTGATGACTATCTTTGTACATAAATTTATTTGTGCAGCTGCGATGGTTTCCTCCGCCTATGTTCCCAGGAACCGAATGGCTGCTCTGCCGAGCGAGGCGTAACCTTTCTGTGCTGCACATGCATATGGATGCACCCTCTCACCAGCGGAAGGTGGCCGTGGCCACTCTGACCACTCCTTTGCCAATGACTGAATGTATAATGACTTGCATTTTGGCCAATTTTATAGGTGGAAAAAGGAAACTTGTTTTAATTTGCATTTCTTTGATAACTTGCGAGGGTGACCTTTTCAAAATTTGTATTATTTCTTCACTTGTGAATTGATTACAGGGTCTTGACTTGGATACAAAGTGTAACGGTGAACAGCTCTGAGACTGGCACAGACCTAGGTGAAGAGAACTGGTTTGCCAGGGGGTGACGCTGGCATCAGGTGGCAGCACCGGAGGGTCTCAGAACCTCCGGGAGGGTCACGGGAGGGGTTGGGGCTGCACCCCTGAAGTCACTCAAGGTGGGAATTCAAACTGCTTTTTCTTGGTGATTGTCATCCTGGAGACACTAGGTTTATAACTATAAATAAAAGGGAAGCATCAGAAACATTGGAATTAAAAAACAAATGCTGAGTTCCTCTTAGGGTGTCATGAGCATTAGAGAGATACAGCAGGAAGAGCCCCCCAAAGAGTGTGCGCCCTGATAGTGTTCACGGCATACACATTCTCATCACTGTCGCCAGTGACAGTCGCCATGGTAATGGTGAGGGTAGGACCTTTATCTTGCCTGCCAACCTGGGGACGAAAATGCAAGAGGAGGGTTCGAGACACAGTTCAGCCTTTAAGAAGACAGATTTCCAAACTCGCAGAGCAGAAGGTCATGGTGGATAGGACCAGATAACAGCAGTAGCAATCTCTAGCCAACATGATTGCCTGCTAATGCGTGTGACCTGTAGCTCTAATATCTCAGTTAATTCTCCTGGGCATACCAAGAAGCGTGGCGGCTGAGAAGATGAAACACGTCTCAGAGGTCACACAGCCAGAGAGAGGCAGGACTGCCTGGAGCCCAGGCCTCTGGCTTCCCTACCCGGACTCAGCCGCCCTGACCGCGATGCCGCCCTGACCGCGAGTCTGGCTCCAGAGACTAGGAGACTCAAAGAAGGAAACTGTGTGTTTAGAATGGCGGTGTCCCCTAAGGACGAAAGGACACCAGCAGCGGCTGAGCGGCTCGTCTGCAAAGATGGATATTAAAAAGGAGAACACACTGTACAGAGAGAGCTGAAGGCCGCCAGCCAGGGCTTCAACCCATGTTCGGAGCAAGAAGAGAAAGATGACAAAGGTTGCCGTGTGGCGAGGAGGTGGCCGGAGGCCAGACAAGAGCGGGCGGGCAAAGCCGAGCAGGACAGTAGCAACAATGTAGTCAGTCTCCTCACTGAACGTCATCCGCAGGTTCTGCGCCTTGAAGCAATACGACGTATAACCAAACCAATTTCACTCAGGGGCGGGGACCTATTTTTCTGCCAAGGGCCATTTGGGTATTTATAACATCATTTGTGGGCCATATAAAATTATCAATGTAAAAATTAGCCTGCTCTGTTTGGTCAGGCTAACTTGGTGAGGTCTGCGACGTGAGCTGGTATTGATTTCTCGAGCCTTCTACGGCTCGTGGGCAGGACATTCCTCACCCCTGAGGCTAATGGATACACACGTGGTTGAAGGGCATCTATCATCCTTATAGCAAAGTGACGTTGCTGTTGGAGGGCCGTGTAAAGGCGCGAATCGGTGCTGAGAGCTCCTGCGCATGGGCCGTCTTCCAAGGGCTCTGTGCACACTGACTCACTCAGTTCGCTCGGAACCCCAGGAGGCCGGAACCGAGCCTGTCCCACACGTCATCTGGGGCACTTGCCCTGGGAGTTACACGGGACAAGTAGCAGAGACAGACTGGAGTCCAGGCAACCTGGGAAGGACAAGACCGATGCGGTGGAGAGGGAGCCGAAGCTCAGCAGAGATGCACCGCGCTGCCGGCTGGGCCCCAGGCCCCGGGGTCATGTCCAGCATCAGGGGAACACTGGACGCGGTTCCCAAGCCCGTGGGAGGGGTCCTGAGACACTGTGGACAGACAGGGAAGTGGCTAAGATGGGAAATGGGTGGATACTCTACTTTTCACAGCATAGACCCAGAAAGCCACGGGCATCCCCAAGTCTAGGGAGAATCTTTCAGCAGCTAGCTGCAAGCCCCTGGAAAAGAAAGCTGATGGCCGGCGGTCGACGGGCGCAAACCCTGCCCAGTGAGCAAGCTGTGTCCGGGGCCGCTGGGGCCGGTGAGCAGTTCTCCGCCTTCCGACCCGCCTCCTCGCCAGCCAGGAGGCAGCACGCCTGGGCGACAGCCCTCCTCGCACCGCGAGTCTCCGCTAGGCCCGTCCCCTCGCGTCCCCACCGGGAAGTGGACCCGAATCTGTGGGGCGACAAGTGCACCCGGCGGACGTCCTAGGAGTCCCCACCGGCTGTGACTCGCTGCCGCAAACAGAGCGCACTGCAATGGTACGGGCGTTTGGCAAAATCTCACGCCGTGTTCGGAACGACATGGAGCCTGGAGACCGGGTGGACTCAGAACCGGCCGATAGCCAGGCGGGGGAATGGACGGTGTGGACGCGCAGGAACGCCTCTGCTGGTGCCTCGGCGTCTGCCCGAGTCCGAAGTGGAGACCTGGCTGAACCGGGGCTTTGCAGGGCACAGGCCGCGCATCTGAGCGGATCTCAGAGACACGGCCACAGAGGGACGGCGCTGCCGAAGGACACCTGTCGTTTTCGGCTGTGTCTACGGGGTAAAGGGCTGTGATCGTGCATGAGAGGTTACGGTCTAA